TAAAATTTTTAGTCAATATATGACATAAAAAACAGAAGTGATCAGAATTTTAATGTAAACTTTGATGTTAAGGTATATATTATATACACAATATATATGTATATATACAAAACACAGCAACAGTTGACTTTAAAAATTCAAAAAAGTGAAAACGATTTACATATATAATCTATTAGAAACGGTTCTCTATAGTTTTAGTGTTAGCAATATTAAATTATATTATACATTTAAGATTATATTGATTTTACATATATACAATACATGTATAAAATATTAAGCACTAATATTAAATTTACATATGTTTTATGTATTCTTACCTTTAAGGAGGCTAATCAAATTTGAATTGTAATGATATTATTTTTATGGTAATTTATTCAATATTTCAAAGCCAAATTTGTATTTAATTTACCAATAATAATCAGTTCATAAACGTCCATTTTGAAAAAATGTACTTTATACGTTTTAATGATATTGTGAAATATACAATTTTATAATAATTTTGTTGTAAGATATATAATGTGAAAATATTTAATATTTGCTTACTATGCTTACATTAAGAAATTAAACCATTTATGTAAATGAAAATAATTTGAATTTAAATATTAATATAATTTGATAAATACGCTTGAAAATAATAATTTAAGTAACCGAAATTATTTAATTAATTTTTCTATAATATCTTTTTTAAGGACAGCAGTTTTTTGAAAAAAACTTACTAAAATAGAGCATATGATATAAATTGTATTATAATTAATATTATTTTAATTTAAATTTAAATAATGTCAATATTTGCTTAACACTGCCATTTTATAAAACATTTTTTCTTAGAAGAGCTAACTGGGGCTAAACAAAAATTTTTCAAAAAAACATTCGAGTATATTAAAAACACTGTGAAAATATTTTTGAATACGGAAGTCATTTTCGAACTGCCCACATATATGAAAAAGAATTTATATTAAAAAAATACTCCTATATTTCTTATTTCAAATATTTACATGTGAATACAACGTATAAAAATGAAAATTATTAATAAATAAATTTTAAGAACTATATAAGTAAAAGGAAAACTATTTAACAAAGCCAAACGATTTTAATTAGCAGCATATTTAGTCTTTACTAATCGAACAAAATAATCAAAAACAAAAAAAAAACAAAACTATTTAATTAATAATCCCAAAATATTATAATACGAATATAAAACTTCAAATTTCCAAAAAAAAAAATCTTAATTTAAAAATCATCTATAAAATTAGTTATAAAAAATGTTTTATTAATATTTAAATACATAAAAATAAATTTTTCGTATTTTACGATTTTACCTATTTAAGATATAATATATATAACATTTAAAAAAAAATTAATTATTATACATAAAATAATTAAATGAAGTTAATATTTAAATTTCGATGTATATTTAATTTTTCAAAAAGATTTACTTAATAAGATGTAACTTTTCTTATTATCTAATGACTTGAGAATAAACGTTTTTTATACAAAATAATTGCAGAAATATTGTTTTTTATTATTATATATAACATATAATATACTGTCTATTTAAAGAAATTCAAATATTTAATTGCTGTGTGGGTAAATTTTACTAGTGAAATTTAAAATTTATATAATGAAGTAACTGGATTTTAATCATTAAATATAATATAAACATATATGCACAGATAAATATTTGTCTATGGTTCTATTGTATCTAACGCTTGAAGTTATTGTTGTTGTTGTTGTTTTGTAACTCACCATATAAACAACAAATATCAAACGAACACTTACCTGCTTGTGTGACCCTTTTGGTGGATGTTGAACGGCATTTAGCAGTCTTCGACGAGTGGTTCCGGGATGCAGACCCGGCCGTTCTTGGAACCAACACTTAAAGTCATGCAACTGAGTTTACAGACCTCTACTACTACAGTTCATTGTGGTATAACTAAAATCTATTGCAAATCCATTACTCTATGCAAAAGCAGGTGTTCGCCCTATATAACGATTTAGAGAAATGTTGGAAGAAACAAATGAGCGTTTTATGCATCACACGGACAAATACACAAAATAATATGTAGGGGAAGGCATAAGACCCTGTTAGGAAAAAAATACAACTATCATTAAATGAGAATAGAGCAACTCGTCCGATCACTACTATGGCTAATAATAAGATATATTCACAATACAAAACAACGTATTTGAAATCTCAGTTATATGTGTGCTTTAATAACCTTTACTTTAGGAACCACAAAATGTATAATCTGACATACGAAAACTAGATTTTTTTTTTGGTTAATATGCAAAATGATCCTTATTTTGTTATATTACCTTCAAAATGAAGACCTATGATTGTTTAGTTAAAGAATTTTTTTAAAATACAATGAAAAGTCTATTTAACAAATATCTCTCTGAATTCAGTTGGTACTCCCCCCTTTTTTTTCATGTAAAAAATTTTGTTTTAAAAGTAGAATTCCCTTAACCAGACAGAATTACTGATCCCGTTGGTGTTCGCTTAAAAAGTCTATTCTACAGAATAACAAAATGTATCTTAAATGTGTCAAAAATCTCTTAGCTAAAAAGTCTAGTTTTGAAAATAAAAGTTCTGCGTATTTTCAAGAAATTCGTATACTTGCTGTTTATGAAATGCAATATTATTGTTATATATTCCGTATTTCATATATACTCCACATCTTTCAGTAAACTAAAAAGGACATCCCATATAAATAAACGTGTGAAAAACTTAATATAACTATTTTCACTTAAAAAAAGAAGTAAATAAATAAAAACGTAAATAACATTCATGTGGAATATTTCTCATAACTTCACGACGAAAAACTAAAAAAAATATAAAGGAGAAATATTTATGAAAAACAATCATGGAATGAACAATAAAACTAATACGAAAAACGGAAGAAATACTCTGTTTATGAGAAAAATCAAGTTTGCATATCCAATCGAACAGAAGAATAAGAAGAAGAAGATGAAGAAAACTAAAGCCGAAAATAACAATGAAGACAAGTGCGAGTGAGATTCCAAACAGAATAACAACGACAGGAAAATGTGCCCCAAGAGAGAATTTCATTCTTCTTATTTCTGATTTAGTAAATTTCTTAAAAACTTCAACAGCTACAACAATACGTAGAGATAGGAATACAAAAGGATGACAAGGACATTGTTGCGAATTGCAAGAAAGAATTAAATATACAAAGTCAGAAAGTTATGTTGTTAAAATATGTGAAAGATAAGCCGCGATGAGGGCGGTTGGGATGGATGACATTAAAAAAATTGTTGAATTCTTAAGCCAAAACAACATTTGACCTCAAACTAAAATTCCCAAAAGCACAACAATAACAACACCTAAACTGACACAAACACAACAGACAATGGTTCGAACAACATTGTCAACAAATACTTCTAGATTACAATTATTGCAGAGCAAACAACATTGGAAGAGGGCAAATCTGTTATAAATTTTGAAGAAACAAAAGTGTCAGAAACAGTGTGAGCATAAAATTTGAACCCTTTACAATGCTTCATCTCCTTCTTTTTCTTCAGATATAAGAAAGAATTCATTTGTGTTTGGAGAACGACAAAAAATGGTTCAAGATTAACGAAAACTCTAAGTCAAAAAGTTTTATTCTCGTTGTCCTCGTATATGTAATACTTAATGAGTGAGGATATTTAAGATTTACGGCGACGGCAGGCAGTGACAGTGACTTTGATGGTGAGCGTGTTTGAAAGAATTTCATAACCAAATTGAGAATTTGACATGATAATTGTTACAACTGTAATAGTTTTGTTTTGGTAAGTTTGAATTTTCTTTTTGAGGCCCTATGCTCCACTGGGAGATAAGGATAAAAAATGAAGAAGAAGTTGGAATTTTAAAATAGAAGTATAGTTAAATTTTCTTCAGACAATGATGTTCCGAAGATCCTTCAGGTCATGAAAAAGGAACTAAAGAAAATATTCTTTTTAATATGAAAAATTGCGAATTACGTTAGCGATCATATACATATTACAGATATACATATATAATAACAATAAAACTACTAATACACACAATCTTTCGATACTAAAAGGGTGTAGAATTTACAATTGAAACAAAACACAACAAAATTTTTTTATTCGGCAGTAATTTCAATAGTATTATTTAGGGAGAATGATCCCGGGTATATGACCGTGACGAAAGAGTGTACGACAAATTGCATTATTGATGGAAAAGGATCTCAGATATATGATAGTCAGAAGAGGGTGACAAATTGCATTTTGAACACCGATTTTTCTAATACTTTTTAATTATCTATGACCATACTATCTTATAAATAGTATGTTGACTGTGAACTTCAAAGCTAGAATTGATGTTGGCTCATCCATATGCAATAATAATTTCAATGACCTCTACTGAAAGCAGTCCAATAACAACAAATAGGTGACCATAATTTTGCGGTACAGAGTAGCAATCGACTTCTAACTGTTTAAATGCCTTTTCGTTATAGCCAAGATGCAAATAATGATTACGCAGCTTTAATTCTTGAATCAATTGAATCTTATGAGAATTCAAACTAAAGCCTTTAAAAGAATTTTGCACAGTGTCGATGTTCACAGCACAAGTTCTTGTGAAAGATGTTTAATGGATATTAGGCTTTATGATAGCTTAAGCTTCATCTGTGCGCACTTTGACAAACCCTAAGCGGTAAAAGAAGAAACGTATTGCAAAATTATGGAATTCTTGTCAAATCATGGAATTGTAGAATTGGTCAAATACAGATTTCTATTATAAATACTCAGTATATATATATGTTGTATGTTGTTCAGTTAAAAGTCTTTGCATAATGATTTACCATTATTATGTAATAGCTATAAACTTTTCCATAAACTGTATCCCTTGTTAAAAGAAAACCCCACAATTAATTAACGGGAATAGGACCTTCAATTATGACCCTATAATAAACTCTCCCGCTTTTTTAACATATATAAGCCTCAGTTCAATTTTCAATGTTTCTCCGAATTGTCGAGGTGTCAATTGTCGAGGTTCTTATATTCATCTCTCACTTCACATTTCTACACCATTTCCAATACCTCATGCCATCTTCTTTTCTCAACATCCTTACAAGGTTGCTACGACATTTACACTTCTTTTCTCAAGTTCCATTTTCACAGTAATAAGCTTCCTCAGCAGTACTGGTTAATTTCATATTATTAATATATAAATATATATAGTATTTTTCACATCACCTTGGCAACATAACATACCAACAAAATTGTGCGTAGCGCCACAAAACATTAAAACAAAATATTTTCATGTTGTTATAACCCAACTGAGTTTCCACAACATCCACAGCATGCTTCAAAGTGTTAGTTTTTAATCCTTTCAAATGGGAGCCAACAAAAGCTCCTTTGATTACTTATGTTACCTGTTCACAGCTGTTCTCCATTCTCCATTCGCTGTTCGCCATCCACTGTTCTGGTGTCTTCGTACTGTGTTGTCTGTCTCCTGTTGTCTAGCTTACCTAGCTTACGAGTTATTGTTGTTGGCATACATTTCAGCATGGAGCAGTCGAGGAATGCGCTTGACTTTTCTGCTTGTACTTCTAAATGCAATTATGTACGCTGAGTCCTGTGCTGAACTCATGTTGATATGTTGAATGGCAGCGCGTGTCCCTTGCTGAAATTTCATTAATTTCGCAAAATGAAATGAAAAGAAATCCTGCAGATAAACTTAATTGTGCACCTGTCGTTTATTAAAATACAAGAGAAAGGGGAAAAACCAAAAAAAAAAAAAAATGTATATATAAATGATTATGAAAGTGGTACGGAGACAATAAAGTCTTGGTTATAATTTTTTGAGTTAATATTTTATTTTTTTTAAATGTTTTTGAAATTATCTCTAAAATCAAATTTAAATTAAAAAGTATTACAAGAATTATTTCCAAGACCACTGATGATGGCACTACTTGAAACAGCTGTAAGGTCAACCAAAAATTCAATTGATTAAAATAATATAAAATGAATTTTTGTTGTTGTAGTTCACTTTTGTTCGAAATAGCCTCTTTCTTTAATTTTGAATTCTAATTTATTTATGTTGAAGCTGTTTGAGACAGTGCACCTAAGCACTTTTACTCTTTCTTAACACGAGGTACTTTCAAAATCCATCTTTACGCCTTAACTGAATTAATGTTTATCACTTCATCAGACTAAGCAATAATTGACTCCAAATCTGCATATCTCCCCGTGAAGCCTGTAACCATTCTGAGATTTGATAACACGGTGTTGGTAAGTCTGTCAGTTTTCGCAGATAATTTCAGGGCTCTATTCTTAACTTTCCCGTAAAGCGTAGTCTTATCAGCAATATATATAATAAAAAAGTATGCACGGATCTTCTTAAAAAGAATTTTTTCTTTTATGTTATTCTCAATAGTAAGTGAAGAATATAGGTGTCTATATAGATTCTATAGGCTTTGTATTTAAGTTGGCAACACTGCGTCTAATAAGAACAATATTGAAAATATAATAATGGTCTATATTCACTAAACATTGTCATCTCAACATAAACTGAAAATCCATTTGGCTGATTTGTATTCACAAAAAGCAGCCATTTCAACATAAAAACAAGTATATAAGTGGGAAGACTGCGTTCTTTTATATTGACAATAGTAAGTAAAGAGTCTTTTTTCCAAAAGTTTGGTTTTAAAGTTGACAATGCTGGCTAGCATACTGCAAATTGAAAGCTGATTTATCTATATTAAAGATTAGCATATCAATATAAAACTAAGTATGTAAGGATCTATTTCGGGAATCATCTCTCTTTCATATTTATAATAGGAAGAGTAATGTATGATTTTTTATAGGTTTGATTTTTAAGTTAGCAACACTGTTTCTAGGAAAAATCATTCTAAAAGTTGATGGTATTTTAACAGGAATATAGTTAGAAGCCTCAATTAGAAGGCAAATCTCTTAACTTCATTCTCTCATACAGTCAGTACTCAATACAAATTATACATAAAAAAAGATATTTTTATAGAAAATACTTTATTTTCAACAAATTAATTATACATTATATAAAAATTATATATTTTTAAACACCAAAATAATTTAAGAACTTCCTTTTATCTTCTTTTTCATTCGATTATATATAACTTCCATTATAAAAATTATAACACTCAAAGTGAAACTTATAGCAAAAAGCACCCACATAAAATATAAATCATCTACATTTAATCTGCGTACGCTCCTTTTTGTCGAGAGATCCTTGAAACTCATATTTCCAATAGCAGCCAAATCATAAAAGGAACGTCCTAACCAATATTTATCCAAACCTAAATCCTGCACACGTAATATAAACTGTTGAAGCGGCTCTTTAAAAATTGAGTCTGGTGCTAAAATATATCCAAGATGCATTAAAGGTTCAAAACAAATCTTCGTTAAACGAAACAGTGGGCGTTCAAAAAGACGTTGTTGTGCCTCAAAGACATACCACTTTGATGTGGTAACTGGATATGCATACTTTGTATTCAATGAATCTCTTACCACACTGTACTCTTCAAATTTATTTACTAACTCAAAACAACTTCTATAGTTTTCCCGTATGTTGGGAAGAAGATTATTGAATTCATCGTTTCCCATTAATATTTTCAAATTCGAGGTTTTGATATCATCCAATGAACGAATCGGTTTCTTTGCTGATGGTGTCGTCAGAAATGCATTCAATTCAACATTAAAAAACGTTGTAGCAATAAGTCCGACTACAAACAACACAATATATAACAATCGTAGAGATAACAAAGGGCGTGGATGTAGAAAAAATGAAAAACCCAATATACCAGATAATGCATGCGGATGAAAGAACAGATCCAAGCAATGCAACACAAATGGTTGGTTGGAGTTTACTTTTAGCAATTTGTGACATACAACAAAAAATATAGAAAATACTTCCACAATAATCAACACACCAAGTACACGTGTCCAATGCAGAAGTTTAAGAAAAAAGTCAATATATGTTTCTTCTAGTTCCACGGGCACCATTAAGCAAAAGTTGGCCAATTCAAAAGGATATGTAAATTGATCATATGACTGATTTTTGCCAGGGTTTGATATGCTGGTGGGTAACTCCACTGTGCCATTGCGTGTGAAATTAGTGAAATCACGATAAAATATGGATTTACCCAAAGTGAGGTTGTAGTGAAGTGAATACGTAAGCGTGCCGTTCAATTTATGTGCAAACAATTCAGTCATCTTCGCAACATAGCCGGTCAACAACTTTTCTCCGCTTGCAGTCTGGTAAAGTATAGTACGAGGTGAAATTTGATCTGGCAATGTTACTATTTCATGGCCTTTTAGATTTTGCATGCGTTCCGGAAATATTTTTGTTGCATTTGAGGGAAAATATTTTGTTTCAATGTTGAATTTCGGATATTCACTGTAACTGTAGAACTGTTGGCTTTCAACAAAATGGGGGAATATGGCAATTGCATTTATCATACTATTATTCCGACAAAATTCGAAAAGAGGTTCAAATAATTCTGAAATATTTGGTGCTTGCGAATCACCTCCTGTATAGATAAAAATGATATGTGCTTGACGTAGGCGTTCTAGATTTTGAGCTAAATTCTGTAATAGGTCTAACTCTTCATCCCATTCCACAATAATGAGCATATTTCTGTTGTAGATGAGTCCGTTGCTGTATGTTGTGCAGTTGGTATAGTGCAGTACTGGCTTAGAAAACATGTTTTGTATTTCTATTTGCAGATGCTGTTGTAAGTCTTTAGGTTCTTCTCTAGAAATGAACATGCATGTTTGAATATCATTTTCCTTTAAAATTTCATTTAAGAAATTCATATACAAATTCGAGAAGTTCCTATGCTCATTATTGAAGATTGAATATATATTTTCTTCCATTCCATCGATGAATAACTCATTCTTCACAAAAACTAACATTAAAAATAAGATATTAACCATTTTTCGAAAAGTACACATCTAATTAGTACACTTGTTTCTGCTGTGCAGTCCGTCAGGTTAGTTATTGTACTGAATAATATTTACTCATCATTTATTTTTATATACTTTTCAATGTCAACACTTATGGAAAACAATTTATTTAACGGAAATCAACTTCACACTGTAATTAGAGTCGATAACATCTTTAAAATTGACACAAATTATTATTAATCAATTTCATCGGGAATTCTAATTTCATTCATATATCCTTTAATGATTTTTTATCATTAGATTTTGTTAAGTAAGCAAATATCTCAAAGGACACATATCAATTTTAAAATTATTTGTTTATTAAAGTGGCATTTAAGGTCATTGAGTAATAGCTCTTCATATAGAAATACATTTTTAATTAATCGCATGTTCATTTAATTTTATTTTTATGAAGTGCATATCAAAAATCAACAAGTTAAACGGTGTAAGCATGATAAGTACCTCAATTAGGTTTTAACATATATTTTCAATGTCCAATTTTTATTATATATATCAACTAACTGACCCGACAAACTTTGTTTCCCCTCACATTTTATTTTCCCGGTTCAACTGAGTTTTAATGTTTGTTGTTATTCCATTATCTGTGTAGATATAGAGATTGTCAGATATGTTCATGTGAGAAGCAATCCGTGTTTAGAATTCAATCGCCCATTATTTTTAAATATCATTTTTTTTTTGAACTGCAAAAAAAACTGACATGCATAACTTATGTTACAAATATTTTCATGTTACTGCGAATCCTTATAAGAATTGCATTTTAAATAAATTTTTTTTTTATATTATTTAAGTAATAGGCTATTAAAGCACCCCGACTTAAAAGATCTATTGTGTGCCTAAAGGCCCAACTAGGACAATTTTAGACTATTTATAAATCTTGTGATTTCTGTGGGCTTAATTTTACCTATTTCACTTGGAACTAATATCCCGCTTCCAAGGTAATCGAGCCTACGTCTTGCCACCGCTGGGTAGTTGCATAGAACATGTTCTGATGTTTCCTTCTCCTCATGACAGAGTCGACAGGAGTCACTTTCTACGACACCTATAATCTTCATGTGGTAATTAAGTCTACAGTGTCCTGTAAGAAGTTCAGTGTAGATTTCAATATCGTTTCTGCTAAGGCCAAGGATAGCATCAACTTTGATGTGATCAGGATCAATGAATCATTTTGACTGTCGCATGCCTGCTAGGGCTCTCCAGTGTTCAAGTAGATGTTGTTTCTCCCGTTCACATAATAAGTTATTTGTGAAGCTATTTGTTAACCCGAAGAAGGGCTCAGGACCAATGAAAGGAGTACATGCACACTTCTTTGCTAGGGAGTCTGCTATTTCATTGCCCTCATGCCCTTCGTATCCCGGTACCCACATAAGAGTAACATAGTTCCTCGATGCTAGGGTGTTGAGAAGTTGAAAGCATTCCCAGACCAACTTTGATTGGAATAAGGATTTTCCTAAAGATTTTAGAGCTGCTTGGCTGTCTGACAGGATGCATATTTTGGTACCTCGGGTGTCCCTTCGTATGCACTCTCTTGCACATAGCTCTAAGGCATGGACCTCTGCCTGTAAAATGGAAGCAGTTTAAAAAAAAATTTTTTAATATTATATTAATAATTTTATTATGAGCTATACTGTTATCTTAAAGCTAAATCATGAACAATTTTGTTTGGCCATTTTGAGCATTTATATAGATCGCAAGGTTTACCAACTGTCCAAGCGAAAAACATGGATTTATCCAGTCTACATACTTTTTGTGTTTTACCTTGAGATTTAATAAATGAAGCGAGTTGGAACATCGCTTGGTATAATTGGTATGTGCGAAAGCAATACATTTACTCTTCTGAACTTTCCACTTAATATTAATATTTTAATATTTTAATATTTTGATTCAATTTGTTATCCATAATTCTTTTTATACAGACCATTGACGGTTCTCAGATACTCATACGACGTTTGTCTCCGTATCAATCAGACAAAAACAGTTTTAAAAATAAATACTGGTTATTTTTGATGATCCAGTATGTTTGCTGACGTGACCAACCTCACTTAGGTGGCTCCCACTTTTTTAAAGCTTTGTTCCATGTAAAATATGTTGGAACTTTCGAACAAAGTAAAGCTTTTACGTAGTAATCAAAAATATTTTGTTGTTTATTCAATTCAAAGAACTCGATTAATCTCGTTTTTGGTGCTGTTAAAGCGCTTTCTACTGCATTTTATTCGTTGAAATAAACACATTGACCATTTTCGAGATGTGTACTCAAGTGCATTATACGCAGATGCATATAGTACAGCTCGTTCGTGTATTTGAAGACCTATATTCCCCATATAGCTTCGTTACTGGTTATGTATCTGCTCATCTGATAGCGTGTTATTTTATCATTTTCGTTTATATTTTGAACAGCAAATACTGCCATATCATTAGCTTTATAAACATATTTACGAATGTATTTTATTTATTCTCCAGAACTACAAACCTCATTGATTGATGTGGGCTTTATATATTTTCGATAACAATAGCGATTGTGGCTTTGCCTATCTATTGTCTATTTCAACTTCATTTTCATTATTTGTCAACTTTAGTGAAAATAATTGGCTACCATTTTCCAAACTTCTTTGAAGATATATATAGCCATCAATTCCAGTTATCGAATCTCCAACAAAATCTTTTAGAAATCCTTTTTCTCATTTACCATTATCCATGTTGTTTTAATAGCCTATCTTGCGCATAAAAATTATATAAATATGGTCTAAGAGTGTCAAAAAGATTTCTTAAGTGAGTAGTTAGTGAGTACGAAGAGATGTGCCAACAATTTTATATATAAAGATTAGAGAGGTTTCAAACAATAGTGAATTGCAATAACAAACATTTTTAACATATTTATTTTTTTTAATTGAATTTTTGGTTGACCTGAGCATACAGTTGTTTCGAGTATTGCCAAATACCCTTCATCAATGGTATCATCATCATTTGAATTATTTCTAATATTTAGTTATATTTAAATAAGTTTTTGAAACTGTAAGTAACAAGAGTTCAACTCATACGCCATCAAATTTGAAATTCAGAGTCATTGTTCATTAATATTATTTGTTTGAAACTAATTTTTAGAGCGTTTTTGCCATATCACATTTCTCAAATGAAACTCTCAACTTTAACTAAACTGAAAGAACATTTCCAGATGATATATTATATATATATTAACACTTAGATCTTATATCTGCTAAATGTCCTATATCTATCAAATTCCAGACAGTTAGTTCATGAGGTAAATTCAAAAATATTTATGTGAAATAAAATGTGTAATAACTTATTTTATTAGGGTTTTCGCAGATTTCGCCTGTTTAGATCATGCGTTACGTATTAAATTGTGAAAAATGTTTTTTAGTCTAAATTCAAGTAAACATCAATAATAAAGTCTTTCACCCTTGAAAGCGTACCAAATTATAGTAATGTTTCCAGTAATGTAATGTTATAGTAATGTCTCTTTACAGTGAGACAGTTCATATGGATTTTGGCAAAATATTGTTTTCATGGTCTGAAATAAAGTCCAGTCCTTATAGGTACAAGTCAAGAGCGTATATAATATTACCCATGTGTGATTTTTCGAAAGGTTATATATATGAAGTATTTCCTCTTCGTTATGAATAATATTCAATAAAAAAGAATTTTTATTTTTTTGAATGTATAGTTTATTTAGAACTTCGAACTTTTGATTTGTTTAATAATGTCTTAATTTTTCATTTTAAAAAATATACATTCACACTAACATACTTTTATACTCACCTATTACCAATATCATAAAATATTTT